TTTTGACATAACCAGCTTCTTATTGACTTATGATTTAGCATGAGTTGAATGAGGGCTATTTTGGCCCAAATGTTTGAATAAAGAAAGCTACACTTACATTAAGTCAATGAATACTCATTATAAAAGTGTCATTTCCAAGCAGATTTACTGACAAAACAGACACTTTCTCATTCCTGCTTGGATCGTATGATCCAGCGGTAAATTTCAACATGTGACGAATTTTCTCTTCTCTTTCCCTTTGAACTATCACGCAAAAATTACAATTAGCAATTACAGTGAAGTCAGACAGGCAGCTATACTCAATCTGAGTCCAGACTTAAGGCCATGCAAACAGTCGCCTCCCTTCTGCTCTGATCAATAATTTATATCAAAGCAAGCAATGAAGGAAAGATATGGAAACAAGAGGATTGGAAAGCAGTGAGAGGACAACAAGAGAAAGGAAGCTCAGAAAACATAGAGACCAGGAAAAGAAGAGGGAACAAATAAAGATGCGAGAGACATAGGAACAGAAGCAGGAGTGGTTAAGCAAAGAGAGATAGGAGCAGCAGCAACAGCACCACGCTTGGTGCTCTGGCAGAGATCTATAAATAGCTCTTCAAATCTCTCTAGAAAAAGCTACTCTTCTGCTTATGCTGCTGCAAACAGAGATTCAGAGAGAGAAGAAGATATGATACCTGGCTGCAGAAATCATTGGATATGAGCTGCCTATTTCAATTACATCAGCCCATAAAATACAGTATTAAAAGCAATTTTGCATCAACCATCTTGGCTTGTATAAATATTTGATAGTAGGAAGTGAATACAGTAGCAGAAAGTAGGTTACCACCAACACAAAATGTTCTACTGGTGTATGAATGAAGAACTGTTTGTAGTCACATCTTGCAAACCAAACAAATACATAAGCACATTTAACAATTATCTCTTACATTTCTTACACTTGTCTGACTGTAATAAATTAACCTATATTCACACTTTCGCATTTTTATAAGTGAAGCAACATATGCAAGTTGCACGATAAAAGGGGTGAAACATGTTGACGGGGAGGCAGGATACTCAATTTTTCTCATTACTGGCCTTAGCAACAGCACACTGTTGATTCAATGACTCACCTCCACCAGATCTTACTGTGGATGGGCCTAAGCCTTTTCTCAATGATAATGCCGTTACACCAGCAACTGAATGTTATTCAGGAAAGCTAGGTGCCCGATGTAATAATGCAAAGAAAAGAGCTGTAATGGGGTCAAAAAAAGAATCACTGAGTATACCAATGCTTTAAGCCAGATATATCTAAATTGCTCAGGAACGGTACCTCCTTAACCTGGCCTTAATATTACTCAACTGTCTGCAAAGAAATAGACAAATTGTGATTTTTCAAGAGAATCTCAACATCAAATGTGACTTTATTGGCAGTCCTGGCCTGCCACTTGCCAATTCTCAGCATCACATGACTGGCCAATGCCAACTGATATGAATATTTATGTTTTCAGGCACACATGCTGTTTTCCCAGAGCAGATGTTTGAATCACAGCTCTGACAGTCTGTGCTGTGATCCCACCTAGTTTGACACAACAGTCTTGCTATCTATTTTCAGCTCAAGTGTCAAAATGTAGAGCTCAAGCCAAGACACAGAGATCGATGACCATTTGTCAAGTATTTCTTGCCAAACTATTTAAAACCATGTGTTTTACAAATTCTGGATTGGAACACAAAATCAGAGACAGGCTTGTTTCTTTTTCATCTCAGTAAATCAAAGAAAATAATAATGCCTCACTGAGCCCATACCCAAGATGATAGATATTACCTATGTTTGGAGTGTGGCAAAAAAAGCATAACTTTTTATGCCATAAGCATCTAAACATCGTGTTTCCTGTTGTCTCTGACTATCAGTGGATACACACATACTACAGGGTGTTGTGGCATTAACACCTTGTTGTCACCAGCTAAGGTGGGCTTAATTGCAATGAACAGCTACAAATTCCAACCGCTTAATTTTAATTCAACCAAATAATGCATCACTCGGTCACTTCAGTCACGCATTCATTCACAGAGTTTCAGTAACGTCTATATCAACCAAAATTAGAAGGATAAAATGTTAATATGGCCATGTCGCGTCAGGCATGGAGAACACGGACTTTAGATGGTGTTAAATGTTGAGTTTTATATCTGACTAACGATCATAAATCCTCGATTTAAGTTAACGTTAACTCAAGTCATTTTAAATGGTTCAGCTCACCGTTTGGCCGGTCGTATGTTGCGAGTCCGTGTGGAGAATCCTTCAAGTAGTGTCTGTAGAGAACAGATGGCAGTATGGTCAGAGCCGTGGCTGTGCAGCTGACTGAAAATATTAGCTTGCCCACACGCTAACAATAGCTAGCTCACGGCATTAGCTTGCTTCCTCCGGAGAGTATAATTAGCCCCCTACAGCACGTAGCTAATGTTAGCCCCTTAGCTAGCCTTTTCTTTACTGTGTACGCTAGCAACCCTACGTCCACAAAACCTAGCGTTTACATTACAACTGGTTAGCCAACAAGGTAGCATATGTTTACAGTGAGGCGAGCTTTGAAATAAACCTGTACCAGCACTGTCAGGTCTCAAAATAGAAGGTGCTAGCTGGTTAGCGAGCCGAATGACTTACCAACGCTAATGTAATGGTGCTGCTAGCTTCAGTTCACCGCGACCCCGACTGTCAAAATAGCGCCGCGTGAGAGGAGAGCGGCATGAACGTTAACGATAGTTAGCAAGCGCTGAGGAGCGAGGCAGTCGAATCCGTTTTAAGAGTACAGCTAAATAACAACAAAACTCCAAAGAATAAAAGGACACAAATTAAAGAAAAAAGAAACAAAACGCTATTCCCCCTTCTCGGCTCCGGCTTGTGTGTCTGTGTCAGCGTCACTTTCCCCCCCCCCTCACCAACAGTTACGTCAGCGGCGTAAGTCTACTTCGCAAGGAGACGTTCAGGATACAGTAAACTTGTTAGTGCCTTATCAAACGCTACAGCCCACAAAATATAAAACTTATTTTGTCCACAAACATAGGCCTATGTCATAAGGTGACAACGTTGTTGTCTCTAGTTTTGACAATATTAATATTTCGTTGGAGAGCAATTAAGGCGAGACACTGCGGGTGAATGGAGTGAAAAAAAAAAGCAGAACAGATTCAAACTTCAAACTTTCCTGACTGATTAATTACATTAAGATAGTTCTTTTTTGTATTAGGCCTACAGGGTTTCTGAAATGTTATGTGTAAATATCCAAATGAGGCAGTATCTAATGCTTACATTTGGTGAATTTAGGAGAAATCTACAGACGCACAGAGACAAACTGTAGAAGCCTACCCAAAATAAACACCTAAACGTGTATTTTGGGCGTCTTCTTTCCACTAGTCTGGAAAAGACATGATGACATCATGACAATGAAAGCAACTTATCCCAAAATCCCCAAACTGAGGAGTGCATGATAAAAAAAAACCGTTTTTTCCCGGTAGTGTCTCATCTTGAGGTTTATAAAATCGCCTATACATTGGCATAATGAACAGTTAAACCACGGAAGCATTTTATGAAGGCACATTATTTCTACAGAATATATCCCACGCAGGCTACAAGGTGTAGGGGCCTAATCTATCCAATACATATAGAATATCAACATATAGGCTGGTACATTATATTAACATTGTCAGTCCAACATTGAATGTGAATTTTAATCTTATTTTCCAACCATCCCGAAGAAATAGGCTGATGCACGTTCATGATTCGGTTAGTTTTCCTTTATTTTTAATGTGTAGCCCTACACTTGTGTTTTACATAGCACCAATAGATAGGCTAAGTATAGTTTGTTGTAGTTCCTAAAATCTACCACATGTCGGCAGGCAAGTACTTCTATGTCATAAGGCCTTGTCCCCAACCCCATGTTCAACCCTAAGGCAAAAAACAACATGCATAGTCACCATGACTACCATTGTTACAACTTGTAGGCAATATTTCAATGACACACTTTACAGTACAAGTTCTACAGCTTGTATGTGTTAACTAACAGCACATGGGGCACCACTTAACGCATTATTATGTGTGTATAGATTTTAAATCATTTTTAAAGTCTTTAATTTACCTGGGGTGCATATATCTGCAGGGCTCCTTAAGGAAGTTTGTGAAATGGTAGGCTATAACTTATCAGCAACAACATGTTAGTACATTCAAAACTTTACATTCCCCATGCAAAAAGGCAACATTAAAGCCCATCAAAATATGGTGAACAGGTAGCCTATATTATCTTTGTGATTTTATGTTATTGATAAAATGCTGTGAGAACTCAAACAGGAGAGACTTGTTCGGGCAACGGCACGATAGAGAGCCCCCCCCCCCCCCCCCCCCCCCCACACACACACACACACACGAGGTATTATTTTACAGTAGGCCTATGATATTGTGCCACCTTGCAGGGAACTTGACGGAGCGTGTTTCAAATACCGTGCTGAAGCGTAGTCCCCGCCTCATAGCCTCGAGCACTCTGGCACACGTTGAATTGTGATTCAATTGTTTAGTAGCTGGGCCCGCGTATTCTGTAACTGGGTTAAAGGGCACTGAATTTCAACTTTGATCGGCACGAGTGATGACAGGTGGCGTATCAGTTGACCTGGAGAGTACAACGCGGCACAGAAAGTACCTGTTGTGATACATGTAGATGACGACCTCATTATAATGAATTTTATCCTAAAGTGTGTCAAAACCAATCAACCGATGTCTTTGTTAATGCAAAGCAGCGAGTTGGGTCCTGTACCAGGTGTGTTAGGCTATTGATTCTGTGTATCACTAATCATGCCTTCTCCGTGTCTGTCAGGCAGTAGAGTGTGTGGGCGCGTGTTTTGCGTGTGCTGTGTGAGTGCGTGTGTTGTGTGAGAGAGCAGGATACTCAGATGCTTTGCCAGTAATTTCCTCGGTGCCCCGATGCGCTCATTGGTGCGTCCCTCCAACGTGTCACTAGTTTTGGTGGATTACCCCAGATATCTTTACCATCAGGAGGGTGAAACACCACTCATTTCTCTCAACTCCTGTCTTCACGGTGTCCAGCTGCCAACGAGGACCTCTGACAACGTTTGGGAAACTTGTGACTTTCAAAGAACAAATCAGGAAAAAAGGATTTGAAGTTTTTTTTTCAATTTGTTCTTTTACGCACGCCGAACACAATAACGCATTTACTTCAGAGTCAAGAATGACGCCGTCGTTTTCTTTCCCAGCGTTTATGTTTTTGGCACCCTTGTTAATGAAGGGTCTCTGTGTCAGTGGCTCCCCGGGCTGCGCGTCCTGTGGTTTGCCGGCCATGGAGAAAGACGCAGAGCGAATGCTGATGATAGACATCGCCAAGCAGCAACTTCTGGACAAGCTGCACCTGAAAGAGAGACCAAACATCACTCAGACGGTGCCCCGGGTGGCGCTCCTCACGGCTCTGCGCAAACTGCACTCCGGGCGCGTCAGACAGGATGGCACTCTTGAACTAGAAAACAATATACCTACCAAAGATCAAGGCTATGAAATAGTGAGCTTTGCAGATATAAGTAAGTTTGGTATTCACCTTTTACACTGTAAAGCAATTCCCCGCCTGTATGGCACTACAACGCGTTATGTGTGCACTGTCAGTGCCTAAAATGCACACAAATTAGATCAGGGTTTCTGTATGCCTTGTTAACTACTTTAGGTTTTTACTGTTTCATAACATGTGGTAAAAGTTTAGGATTACAGTAGGCCTATATGTCATTTATTTTTTGTTTTAAAGATAAAATGTCTGCATGTCATGTAGAATGCTTATGTTAAGGTCAATCATAAAAGGTAAAATGCTTAAAATGGGTGGAAGCAGACTGACTTGTAATTTATTTTTACATGAATCTGCAGCGTTACTTAGGAGTTTTAAATTTATTCCTCCCTTGCTTGTGTAACACAGTTACCAAAATATTAACAGTCTGTGTGGTTCTTCTATAGATGAGACAGAGAGTGGTGATAAAGCCAGCCTCAGTCTAACCTTCCAGTTTCTGCAAGAACGTGGCCAGAGTATCCAGGTCCTCCAGTCTTCTCTGTGGATCTACGCTCGCTCCTCTGAGGACCCTCACAGAGACTCTCGGCTTGCCGCCCGGGTTTTCCTCTTTGCAGATAATGGGGTGTCAGGCGCAAACCGCACCCTGGTGATAGAAAAGATGCTGGAGGTCCAGGAGAGTAACTGGCACACCTTCCCCATCACTCACACCCTGCAGGCCTTCCTGGATGGTGGCCAGCACCGGCTGCAGCTGGAGGTCAGCTGCTATGAGGATGGGAAGAACCTTTGCTCCCTGGGTGGCTCTGCTGGCACTTCCAACCAGCCCTTCCTCGTGGCCCAGGTGCGTCTCCGTGATGACCACTCCAAACACTTAATCAGGAAGCGTTCACTGCGTTGTGGTGATGAAGTAACCGTGTGCTGCAAGAGAGACTTCTACATCAAGTTCAAAGATATCCAGTGGCATGACTGGATCATTGCACCTGAAGGCTACCATATGAACTACTGCATGGGTCAGTGTCCCCAACACCTGTCTGGCTCCCCAGGCATAGCATCCTCATTCCATGCCACTGTCTTCAGTCAGCTGAAAGTCAATGGCATTAACACGGCTGCATCGTCATGTTGTGTTCCCACTGAGCGTCGGCCACTCTCCATGGTGTACTTCAACTCTCAGCATAGTATTGTCAAAACGGACGTCCCTGATATGATAGTGGAGTCCTGTGGATGTACATAAAGGAGAGAATATGAAAGACATGGTATAGTTAACATAGGTTTGTTTTAGCAGAGGAAACTAAAAAGACTGATGTGTGTATTGTAGACAGAAAGATACAAACACACATGAACACAGGAGTTAATAATGGAAGTATTTCTTTGTGTTTAGATTACATTCGGGAACAAGTAGGCACAAAGAAAAAAACAATTTTATAGGATAAACTTTTCCCGCAGCACTCAGGCATATTCTAACAAGAATATATGAAAATTTCAAGATTTAAATCAGTAGAATCTTTTGCATTATATATTAGGAAATAGAAAGTGAGCAACCTTAACATATGACAGACTCAGCACAGGAGGAAGGAGTGATATTAATGTAAAACATTTATAGTGGTGACAAGTAGATTAGGCCATGGCTGACTGAAGGCGCGCTTATATTAAATAGTTTTTTTACGGAGGTCACAACAAACACAAAGAAATCCTTCACTGTGGTGTAAAATTTAAAGTTGCAATCTTTTTTCATTTTCGTGAAATGTAGGTTATTTATTATGTATTGCACAATTGCTGCTGGGATTCAATTCAACGTAAAATGTTTTATGGATCTCAGGAAATTGGGAGCAGAACTGTTAGCACTTCTAACTCTTTCAAAACATTGGCTACAGTATGTTTTCAGGATGTTTCATGTAATGGTCACAGTGTCCACATACTATATATATATATATATATATATATATATATATATGTACTTTTATACTATTTTAATACTAATTTATAGAACTGTTATATTTCTATGGCTTATTTGCACCTTTTCTTAGCCTAACTAAATGTTGCCATTTTAAAGCAAGGCAATGAACAAGATCCTTGATTTAAAGTGTGCCTTCTTCATTAACTCGTGATGACAAAATGCAACTTGGACATTGAGTATCAAGTCATCATGGTCTAAATACCAAAGACAATCTATTGAGTATATCACTTCAATTTCATTACTGACTGATGGAGTCTTTTTATGTGGACCTGTGACACAATGTTCATATGGACACTTATTTGTATTCTGATAGTATGACTTTCTTTCTACATCCAGCAAACATTTTTATTTTATTGAGAAGTTTCAGTAAGAAGCAGTTTTAATTACAGTGCAAGAAAACACAACTGATGCGGTTTGAACAGGTACAATCTGCCCTGAGTCCATGTCTTTTTCAGAGTACAGCCGATGCTGCATGCAGGTTGAAATATGTTTGATCAGCATCTCCACTGTATTATTTACACAAGCCTGCTAATCAGTTGGGTAACTATGAACCCAAGGTCATTTCTCAGCAGCATGAGCAAACATTTAGCTATTGCTTCAGTGTCAGGTAATGTGAAGGTCTGTGAGGCAGGTGGGTCAATGAGCATGTGCTGTTGCACGTTGGCATTTATAGCTCTCAAAGTCTAAAGTTTTTTGGCATGATGTAAAATTAGAGGCTTTCCAGCTAAAGGCAATCTGGTAATATTTTGAGTGGATTTTGAAAACATTTTCCTTGTATCCCAATTGCACAATTTATAGTTCAATAATTTATAATGCTAACTTTGTTTTGATTATGTATAGTACTACATCCATACAGGGAAAAAGGCCAAGTGAAGTATACTACTTCACTCACAGCTGGATGCTGCTCTCAAAACAAAGAAGCATAGTTCAATTCTTGGAAAAAATGCACTAAGCCACTTTTCACTGAGGTTTTCACATTTTAAATTGGCAGTAGTGTTACATGCCTTGTGTCATGTCATATTTGAAAGAATAATATAGTACAATAATTTCTTGTCTACCAAGTATTACACTGCTAGTGTACACTTAAATAAGTATACGGTATAGATTTGAGACCCAGGCCTTGTCTACTTCTCGCCTTTGTTTACACCCATCAGTGTAAAAGTCAAAGACCTTTTTGGCTTTCTGGATGATGTTTCAAGGGTATGTCCTTACTGTGTTGGTAAACTGTATAGCTTAAGGACTTGTGTTATACTTCCATCATAAGCAGGAAACATTTTCAGGCAATAAGTTGGGGCATTTGTCTTTACATTTTGTCCAAATAGCCCACAGACATGTTTTGCCTCTCTCTGTTGCCTTTAAAAGCTGCACTTGTATTATTTCTTCAGAGTTCAAATCTGTGTAAAACAATTCTAATGCTAAAGTTTATTGTTTATTTTATCTTGTCAGCACCCCCTGTCCCAGGACTCAATGTGACATTGAGGTGCCATCATAACATAACTAACATAACTTACTAAGCACTTTATCTGCCTACTGTACTTTTAGAGCAAATATTGGGTCTACTACTTATAACTCAGGTGGGCTCAACCTAGAAAATGTAAATAGGCCTACAGAAAGCAAATGTCAATCAGCTTATTTTCTTAAGCTCTAGTCGTGCTTAAATATGCAGCAATGCGTGTGTTTGCAGAGCACACAGATGATACAGGAATTTCTATATACTGTAACTGGTGGAAATGGAGCCAGGATTTCAATTTTGTGTATAATTATTGTCTTCATTTTTATATCATATATGCATAATGAATGATTTGTAATGGCAATTCAATGTAAAGCATGTGTCATAATGTGCTGAAATGACATGATTGCAGTTTAAGTACATTTTTAATAAATAAATACATATTTTAAATCAACCTAGTTATTTCCGTTAATGTTTTTTTTATCATTGTATCTCTTTAGCCACAATGACAACACACTGCGCCTTACAACAGAAAGAATAATAATCATTATTAAAACATATAGGCCTACAACCTGCACTACTTTTCAGTCTAACAGTGGAAATACGTTTTGATTTAGAAAATGTTAGAATTTCCCCGTCAGCGCTCTTAACAATGCATTGTTTTTTTCACAAGCACAAGGATAAAACATTGTCATGGCACATGTGTTGATTGCACAGATTAAAATACATTGTTAAAATAATTCTTTGCATTTGAAAACACATTCATCAAACAAGTTACCCGCCATGTAATCACACTGCCACTGTCTGTAAGGCAAAGGGTGTGTTTGCTCATACAAATAGTAGAAGTGGCTTTATGGACTGTCTGTATTTGTTGTGTAAACAGTTGTCACATTCCCTTGGCATGTTGTCACATAATGCATTTGCATCTGGGACTGATCACAATCTAAAGCTGAGGTAATAGAATATACTGTAAGTAAATAATCCATTTTTAGAAAGAAACAATAAAGCTTCTATTTTACTTTTGATTTTGGCAAGCTAATGAACTGTAAAAAGGCACTAAGCAAGAGCGAGTGTGTGTCCTGCTGCTTTTGTATGATATCAATACAGTAGCACACCACAACACATCATTATATGGTGAACCATGATTGCACACTCGCCTGTAAATGTTTCTATGTGTAAGATATGGATAAGATACACACACTCGAGCATATACATATGCACAAACAACTGTAATATGTTTTTAAACCATCACAACAGTGAACGTCCTAAAGATCAACTGCCTTTCAAAAACAGTAGGCCCTCCTGCCAAAATGTGCCAACTCCCCTTCTTCAGCCAACAGCGGTACTGATGTTGCACCATCCAAAATGGACTATAATCAGTGTCTGAGGGTAGTCTGGCACTAAAACAGTATTTTAGATTGTATAAGTTGTTTATTCATATTCCTGTCCAAGTTCCTGGTAGTCTAATGTTGTAAGGTCATCAATGAATATTGCCCCAAAGTGGTTATTCCTTTTAGTGGACAGTGTCATGGATAGCAATATCCATAAGAAGAAGTAAACAACATAGACTCTAGGTTACCTCTGTTGTTGTGAATTACATGGTGCAAAGCTCTGTCACTGGTACATGGAGTCAACCAAGGCAAGCCAATCATAACCTTTTCCTCACGTACAATCATAACCTGGTTTTAGAAGATTCCAGAGCACATCTGTGTTTTATGATCAAGCACATGCAATACATAAAATCAGCAGATTATGTTGAACAGTGTTAATCAGCTAGGGAAATTCAAGTGGAGTAATACCTCAACATCTTACATCCACCTGACATCCAGCATCATAAACGTAGGTGTTAGGTGTATCGTGTTGGCCTCACATGATTAATTTGATATCAGGCTGCAATGAGTCAGCGACTTGTGTAACACCTTCATCACACCTATAAGATTAGTAAGCAATAATGTGACATCATACATGACATACTGTACCTCATCTACATTCGACCTACTAATCTCTCTGGACTGAATCTCCATTCTAAATCAATATTCAATGTTGTCTCCTCTCAGTTGCTTGAAGGATGAATATGTTAATAGTTCAAGATTTTGATTTTGTAGCTGGACTGAAAAATTAAGTAACAAATTCTCACTTTTCAGAGATAATTAGCTTTAGTGTCCTTTTAGCATTCAGGATTTCTTATACGTACAGTAAGGGCAAGGGTCGGTGAATGTCAGCTATAGCTCACGCCGTTCATCCATTACTGGTCAGAAAACTTATTTCACTGAGGCCTTCAGGTCTGATATAGTCCAGGTATTAGCCACCCCCTTTTGGGGTGTTAGTGAACTGCCTAAAAGGAATTAGTTTCAATACATTCTTGTCTCTTTAATAGAACAAGATCAGTGTAAATTCCCGGGTAGTTACCAAATGACGAATAAGGAACTTATCGGAAACTAACTGCTAACTAATGAATAGCAGATCTGGCTTTTTAGTTCACCAGCTAGTCACTAACTTTGTCTGTTTATAGTTTCTGAATAAGCCTGAAAGAACTCTACAGTAGCCTACATAAGTTACTTTCGACTGCTCGATACACCCTAACCATTTCCTTCAAAGGGCACACCCTAATAAGACAGTGTTTTTTGAACTGAAGGTTAAGGAGCTGAATTGTTGGATCCACCACAGCATTGCTAAAAGTTCCTGCTCCTAGCACCACACCCCTACACGCAAACCAATGGAGCAATCATCTTCAAAAATGGCTGAGGTGCCCAACAGTGTGGCAGGCCTACACTTTGACAAGCAAACAACAGATTTGGATCCACTTGTTGGGCACATTTTTAGAAGCAATTTGAAAGAGCCTTTGGAATGGCACAACTTGTATTTGGATGGGATGTAGAAGTTAAAGAAGGCAGCCTCTGAAGTGGAGCAGAAACAATTTATAAATGGTCAGTTCACTCAGTTCACAAAGGTGGCTGTTTTTTAAGATATCCTCCCTTTTCTGTCAACACTCTTATACAATCAAAGTGTATGGGATTTTCTTTGTGGTGTTAAAAGCATTTTTTTTATTACAAAACTCAGCTAAACTCACCTCCAAATATTATGTCCTGGATACTAAGGATATTTCCTAGACATTGATGTAGTTTTGATTATCTACTTTCTACTTAAGAAATAGCCCCACTAGTTTTCATTGGGAACTATTTTAAATAAGCTAAAAGTAGTGAAAATGCTCGACAGTGATGTTGGTAGATTATTATTATTAGTAACCAGGCCATTGTTTCTGGAAAAATACATTGATGTTCATTTCTAGAAACACTTTTTCTAATGCTTTGAGTGACACAAGGAGATTTCCATTTACCTCCATTGTATTTGGGTGTTGGCAGATTTTATAGCAAGAGATATCTTAAAACTACAACTTGAGCAAATAAATCAAGACTATCTGCCTGGTTAAATACCCCAAGGGGTAAGTGATTAAATGTTTTTGTGATGTGGATGAAGTGACCCTTTAACTGTCCTCTGCTCACTGGTTCTGGATGGTGTAATCTGTGTTTTTACATTTATTGCAGCTTGCAAATGTGTAGATGGGCAGTGAGAGGTTGCAGGATAACAAAAGTTCAACCCAATATCTGCAGGTCTGACAACTCCAAACATCTAAAACTGAATGATGACATAATGTCATATCCCTCATTGTGATGGACGCCACCAAAGCTCATGAAGAAAAGTGGCCTTTTGTTTATGTTAGGAGAAAAACATCGAGGAAAAAGGCTGAGTGTTTGCCTGCATGTATAATGAGTAGAAGCATGAAAACATTTCTGTGTTAACATGTGAGCAGGTGAGTAGTCTTTGGCAAAAGAAAATAATTGCAATGGTCCCACTGATGGAAAGTAGATAACTGACCTACTCTGGGAAAAATAAAAGCCTACTGACTCACTGATTTACTGACACAGTGACCCACAGACCCACTGTTTGCTGTGCGCTACTAAAACCCTAATCCTTCACTCCACTCACAATCCCACAAATCCCCTGGGGAGGTTTAAAGTGTCAGTCAGACTTGTCCCCTGCTGTGTCATGACAGGACAACCTGGGAGGAAGCTGCTCTCACACTCTCTCCTTTCCCCCACAAGTCCTCAGGTAAACCATAAACAAGTGTTATGTTGGATGTTTAGATTAGTGCACAAACATGCAGTGATGATTATTTTCCATATAGTCATAATGTTATGACATATGTTCAGGGGTTTATGCTATGTACATTATGTACAACAAATAAGGAAAATTCTTAAAAAGTGAGGCTGGTTTTGGTTGCATAAGTACTGTCAGGCTTGCTGTTGACTCAGTCAAATCAAATGTCTAAGCAGAGGACAGATCAATTATTCAATTAGCAATCTAAGATGTAGGCTAGACAACTGGATGAACCTGTACAATGCACTGTACACAAATTAATAAAATATATCTGACTGCTGAGATATTTCCACCTATATATCTGTATGGCGGTCTCAAATGTGAGACAATGCTTTTATTTAGTTTGAATATTTGTGTTTCATGTCATCAACATTTACAGGGCAGTGTTAAAGTTATACTGTACTTTATATATCCAACTTGTAAAAGGGTAGAATTTATAGAAAACATAATGTGATAGAGAATATATTATTAACTTATATATAGATTAGAGTAGTAAATAATAAATAATTATATAGACTATAATTAAAGAAAGCCTGCATTATAGCAATATGTATTTGGTTGGCCTCACTTATCTATTAGGTGTCACAATCTGCTATTTGTTTAGAAATTCACCCTCTTTTACATCTTAAGAACCATTTCAAAGGGCCAAGATCTGTAATGGTGTTTGCATTCTTGGAACGTGGCACAAATAACCTTTAAATCCACAGGATGATCTCATTACGACAGACCTACTTACCTGTTAAATCGCTATGTGTTACATCAGAAGTGCCTTGTTACAGAACAACATCCGGCACCCTTAAAATTAAGTCAGGTAGAGCTTTACATTTGACTTAGTGTCCAGTGTTAAAGGGGTCATTTTATAATAGTCTTCTACGGATAAATTAAGTTCTAAAAATAAGAAAATTCAGCATAGTATAAAAAATTATTATAATGGAAATAAAATCTATATATTGGAATATGTCATATATACACATCACTTTGTCAAATAAGGATTGTAGCAACTTCAAGAAAACCTGTCACGTGAAATCATGGATCATAGTTTGCACTCAGCATGGCAAATACTGCCTGTCAAAAAAAAACAAATTTCACATAACTCTTCAAAAAAAGAAGAAAAAAATAATAAAATATATATACATATATATATATATATAGTAGAAATAACACATTCATGATTTCACCTGTTGCATTATCCTAAAATCTAATTTGTGTCAATATATCTACCAATATATCTGTCGTCATTGTTGCTAGCTAACAGAAACATAACTACACATTTAACCATCCATCCTTCCATGATCA